GTAGATTGTTACATTTTCTATTCTACCATATATATATATTATACATCTACATATATAAATGGATATACACATATTTGGACGTAGACTTATGCGAGCAATTTGATTGGTTATTTCCATCTGGAATAAGTCTGGAAGAATTTCTAGTCGAAAAAGTAACTCGGTGAATGCGACAAATTTGTCTACTTCGAAAATCATATTTGTACGTTATACTTTTATATTAAGAGATATATGGATAACAGGGTCACGGTAGATGAATGGTCATATATAATACTGTTAGGTTTTAAATTAGGCGTGATATAATTCGATTCAACACGACTCAGCAAAGATCTGAAATATGAACTTGTGTACGCAAGTAAATGAATCGAAGTAGACTTTCTTGTTTCAATTTTTAAACGTCATTTCGATTCATTTCAAATATTATTTCTAGGTATATATTATTATTATTATTATTATTATTATTAAGAAAAGCTTTTTTGAAGATGAGTAAGTCTTTTTTTTTTTTTTAGTATCTTCTGTGCAAACACTAGCAAAGTTTGAAGTCAACAGGAGATAGCAACTTCAACAATTGTAACATCGATCTACATGCTACTATGGAATCCGCTGTTGATTCCTGCGAGTTAATTTTCCGAATGCTTCCGGTTTCCTATCGTTTACTCTTCTCTCAACCCTCTGCCAGTCAGAGAAGTTTCTTCTTAGTACTCATCGAACTGAGTTTAGATGGGTTTAATGCCTTAGCGCATAAAGCTTTAGGTTGGTTGGCTCAAACTTCGAGCCTGGATATCGAATTTTCGTAGGGATTTGTGATGTGCGATTATGGTTGGCCTTCGCGTCCTCTTAGACCTTAGTTGTACATTCGGACATTTGCATCTAAATTTACGCTACCATTTAGATCGTAACCGCTCGATGAGAGACCGTAGAAATCCTTGACTTTATTTACACAATCGTTTCGATCCACGTGAAACAGTGATGGGATTTAAAAAGCAAAAGGATTTTACATAGCCGCTATTTCTCCCAGGAGAGAAACGAGCGAAAATTTAACGCCAATTTATTTATTGCCTTTCTCTGTCTAATTCTCTATCTATCTCTATCTATCTATCTCTTTCTCTCTCTCTCTCTCTCTCGTTCTTCCAGTTGTTTCTATTTTATTTCTCGACGCTCGATGTGTCGGACATTGCACAAACAAACTCGCACACACATATATATGTATATATATATATATATATATATATATATATATATATTGAATAAATTCATGTGCATACACCTATACACACGGTCTACATTCGGATGTTATTTTCACGAAAATAAAAAGGGTATTTTCATGGAGGACAAAATGACCAGGTGAAACTTTCATGCGGATAAAAGAATTCGTGGGAATTGGAACGACGAACAGTATTGTTTCTACGGATATTTTTCTTCTGTTATTCTCTTTCTCTCTCGTAAAATCTTTTGCACACGAGTATACGCTACTAGAAAAGATGTTAATCGAGGAAGTTAAATATTAAGGAAAGTAACTTTCTTCTGAGTTTAGCTTCGAGAACATTTTTTATTTCTTTCCTTTCGTCTTTCTTTATTTCCTTCCTTCCTTCCTTCCTTCCTTCCTTTCTCCTTTCCTTCTTGTCTTACTTATTTTCTTCTTTCCTTGTTATGGACGAAAGAATCAGAGCATCTGGTAGCGGCGGCCTCCAAATTGGACGGTTCACTGGGTGGCAGTCAAGTGTGAAGAATGTGGAAACGTTCCCTGCTGAAAAATCGTTAAGCGCCTCGACCGTTCGAGATTTACGTTCCATTCTGTTTCATCTAACGCGCTTTGTCCGAGTCTTGCTTCTTCCATATAGCCAGTGAAAGAAGGAACACAACAAAAAATTTACCGGCTTGTCCTAATTCTTTAGTCGATATAACAACGAAAATATACGGTTAAAAAGAGAAAGAAGACACATAGAGAAAGAGAGAGAGAGAAAAAAAAGAGAAAATCGTGATAAAGTAGGCCAGCATTTGAGGAATACCGATTCGCTTCATCGAGAATCTTCCTTCCATCTGTTCACCGGATCTAAAACTTCTCGATCGAGACCGAGTTGTTTGGAGAACACACCGTAGTAGACGAGCGTAAAAGTTGAAACAGTTTCGATCGGGTAACTCTTTAAAAGTAAAAGCACCGCCACATATCTTTCCTTTCGCGTGTTGGGTTCAGACGTTTCAAGAAACTCGACGTCCAAGACATTTATTCGGTGCTTCTTCTGCGTTATAAACTGTCGAAGAAACTTCCTTCTATGTCAAAAGTACGAAAAAAGGATTCTACAATTTTCTTAACTTCGTATACATTATGATATGAGATAATTCCTGAGTCAGTAATAAACAATTTCAAATCTAATGATTTACTTTCTAAATCGTTCAAATTTATTTAGATGAAGGTTTTTGAAAATGTTCGAGTTTCTTTTTCTTTTCTTTTCTTTTCTTTTTTTTCTTGCCATATGTTCACCAAGACAGCCAGCCCGTTTAACAATCCGCACTGATTGAGCCAAGATTACCGGAAGTAATGACGCGGCAAACATTTTACGAGGAACGTGACATAAGCAAATGGAGCGCAATAAAGTGTTCCAACTTTCATGAATACTTGTATGCATCAACCATCGTCTTATACTATGACCGCTATAGTCTGATTTGCATACGACTATTACTATGAATTCTTTTCTTTACTCTTTTCTCTTATTTTTTTTTTTTTTCGTTTTTTTATCTTTTTCATATAAAAAGATAGTAACCATACGATTCTTTCGATATTTTCATCTTTGTTCACCTTTCATGTCGTTAAGGAGTCTTTCCTTCTCGTCTACTACCACTTTCCTTCTCACCAATTTGCAAGTCATCATCTTTGAACACTCTGAGTCTTCAAAGGAAGACCTTCCTCGAGAGCACAGGATCTTGTTACGAAAAGGGTTTAGTGTGTACGCGCGAAATTCACCAAGAAAAGTGCAGGAATTTGAAAATCGGTCGGGTTATATTAATTCCTTGAGTGGTACTACGTGTACCTTCAAAGGGATCTCTAGCTCATCGATCCTATATATAGATATAACCCTAGTACACGGTAAAAGAATTTTCTTCGAAATTGCAGCATTTTAATTTTCCGCAACTCTACAACTGACAGTTCTTAAAAGGCCCGATGAATTTCCAGATAGTACAACTTTTTACCTTACTTTTTTGCTAACTTTTTCATCGAGCGTGTTTCAACGGGACTGTTCGAACGAATTCAGTTAAATCCCTTGCTATCGGACATTTTTCCCCTTCCCTTCTTCCACTTCTTCCTTTCAATTTTTTTTCCACTTCTCCCTTTTTCTTCTTTTTTTTTTTTTTTTTAATTTAATCGAAAGTCAGCTACGCTTTTGTATATTCAACCGCAAAAAGGAAATAACGTGGCTGAAAGGGCGAAGTGAACTACGAGTTGTGAAAGAATCGCGAGAACGTTCGAATCTCTTGATTACTTCCCCTCCCTCTCCCCCTTTTCCACCCTCACCATCACCAAAAGAAAAAGTCATCTTTTCTCTTCTTACTCTTTTTCACTTTCTTTCTCTCTTTTTCTTTTTATATCTTGTTAATAGCGTCAAATATTCAATTTTTATGGAAAATAATCTAAGCTGAGTCCTCGTCATGGAGATACGGTAGCAATACCATGACTTTTCAAAGTCAATGCGACAAGTCTAGACAAAATATCATTCAGAACGATTCATCCGGTTATAAATGAGACATTCAAGAAACGAACGCGGATCATATACATTTTTCAATTCGAATGAAAAGCGCGAACGATGATACTACGTCACGCTAAAAAAAATGAGAGCACGTCATCGGACGTGGATTTTGGGTGATTGATCGCCTGCCCTAAACATTTCCAATCCCACCCGTTCTCTTTAAAAATCTTCTTCGACGAATGGTAATCTATTCGATGTTCATTCGTTTCTAGAAATGTCGATATTAACGAGAATAACACTTCAGCATTACTACGAAATCTAAAATATATATGTCGGGTCTTTGATGTAATTTCGAAAGATCTTTTTCAATCGTAGTTTGAAAATAGAAGATAATATTCGTAGATGGATTAATCCTAAATTCACGTTGGTTATATTTATCAATCTATCGTCTAACGTTCTAGAATCACGAAAATGTTCAGTAGAAATCGCACTTATTCCATAAATGTAATTTTAGAATTCGTCGATATCCAAGACGATAATTTAGTCTTATAACAATGATAAGAAAAAATTTGCTGACTCATATTCTTTTCTACTATGATAAATTTGTTCCCGTCTTTGTTGTTGTTCTAAAGAAATGGATTAATGGACGAGGCGGTGGTTACACTCAACAAACATATAGAAAATAAATTGCGTCTAGACAAACGTACGTCGATGGGTCCTCGTGAATATTTATTCGCAACGCCCACTGTCAAGTTTGGTAACCCATGAGCTTAAAACAGAAACCACCGAGAATGGTTAGGTCTAAAATTAGAAAACAATGTGATACTCGAAGCTATTTCTTCGCTCTACTTAATAACTTTACAATTCTTTTCTATTTATAATACCAAGTGATCATTTGAATATTGAAATGTAGACTATTTTTTAATGAGATCCTCTTGACGAGAAGAATCATCTAAGTTTATATTTTTGTCAAGAAGAAGCAAGTACAAAATACTTTTAAGAAGTTCAATAAAATGCTATGAAACGAGTCACCCTATGAGAACTCAAATGGGATAACTTAAACCAAAATATACAAATGTAAAGACCCACCATCCATTAGTATTTACAATCTTTTAAAGAATTTTACCTAGTAGAAGGAATAATGAAGAAACTAATGAACCTTATTCGAGGTTGTAGCGATTTAATGAATAAGGGGGAAGGAAATGAGCAGGATCTAAAAAAGAAATAGAATAAACAGGGTAGAAAGAGGAGAGAGAAAGAGAGAAAGAGGGAAGATCGATCGAAAGTATCGTGGCGAAACGTGGTATGTTTCTGTTTTAGGGGGAGAAGGGTGATGGCCCGTACCACGCGCTCGCGACGAAAAATGGCGAATACGAGCGATGCTCCCTCGACTGCGAGCAGCCTTTTGTCGAACACGACTACGACGCCTTTCAGCAACCCCACGTCAACGACCTACTCGACTGAGGGCTATACCTTCAATTACAGCGACCTCGCGAATTTCGCCGGTTACTCATTGGATGAGTTAAATTACACAGGACTTTGGGTGGACGTGTGGAACGGCACCGAGGTTGCTGATAACGTGACCGAGAGGTTAAACACCACCGTATTGATACCCGGTGGCTACTGTGACGAGTGGGAGGCAGCACAGCACAAGCTCTTCCAGGTCAGTTCGTCTTAGTGATCTTTTCTCCTTTAACATTCTTTAGATGTAGATAAAATATAAAGTTTTACACGTATATTGGTATCCTTTTAGCACGTGAAAGCTTTTTGTTACACGGGTCACGTTGAATGTAACAAGATTTCTGAGAATTTTGTTAATATCCCTATGTCGCTACATCTTTGTCTGGATTTATTTACGATATCGTAGATATAAAATGTCCAGTCGTATTTCGTTAAGAAATTATGTTTACAATAAGACGATGAACGAATTGAAATTTAAACGATAACGAATCCTTGTCGTCGATCTAAGACGAATTTCGTTGGAACTTTTCTTCTTAACTTTGTTCGCTTCTCGTAGAAACTTTTGGCAAACACAGTAAAGCTTGGAAGTTAATCTAAATCGGTTTTTTCTTCGAATTCGTGAAAGTTAATCTTACTTACGTGTTCTTTTTCCAGGCAGCGAATATATTTTACATGGTGGCCTTTCTGGTGCCGCGTTCGTTTAAGGCCTCCGTATTGGCCCTTCGTACGTTTCTAACGGCCGGATTTATGCTGGCTGCTTTGTGGGCCGGTATCACCATATGTGCTCTAGACGCCATGCTTTGGAATCTTATCCTCGGCCTTTTAAACGGCATACACTCCTTGATACTAGCTTGTCGATTTTTACCGCCTGCTCTCAGCCCGGAGCTCGCGGAGCTGTACCTCAAGCTCTTCAAGCCTTACAAGGTCAGCAAAAAGCACTTTCAAGAATTGGCCAAAGAAGCGAGGATACTCAAATTGGATCCTGGTCAAACATATGCGACCGAAGGTATCACGCCCGCGGACGAAAGGCTATCAATACTCTTGCGTGGACAGTGAGTACTTTTATCTAAACGGTATTATACAGAATAATTTAATTTTTGTTTATTTTGTTCTTCCTTTCATAACAGAGAAAAGATCCCCTTTATATTCTTATCGAAAAGACGTCACCATTAATGACGTTGTTGCGTGTTAGAAAGAAGTATTTCAATGTATGTTTCCCCTTTTCATGCTATGTAACATCGTTTAAAAGAGTTTCTTTTATCATTAAGAGCATAAAACATTAGGCACGGTAACTATACTCGTACTGTATAGTCAAGTTTTTCTTTTTTTTTTTTGCCTTTAAGAAAGATAGATTTATGTAGCGTGCGTGAGGGGGAGAAAAAAACCAACTCTGTCTGGGTTTCAGGCTGAACGTGACGTGCGACGGTACTCACCTGCACCATGTCAGCGCTTATCAATTCGTCGATTCGCCCGAATGGGAGGCCACGCACGAAAACATCGATGATGTCTTCCAGGTAACGATACGAGCCGAGGAATCCAGTACATACATCTGTTGGACTAGGTTAAAGTTGCTGAGGGTATTAAGGCATAGGCCGTTGTTAAAAATCGTTCTCAACACCCTCATCGGTAAGGACATTACGTCCAAGTTATACGCCCTTAACGAGCAACTCGCTGACGTCTCCACGGTCAGTGAGAACACCACGTCGAATCCTTACAGAGGCGTCGCCAGAAGTCTTAGCGTAGACGCCGTAAACACAGAAACTGCCGGAAGAGTTCGCTCGACCACGTGGAAGGCGCAAAGGAGGCATAGTAATCCGCGTAGCGACAGTAAGAACTTTTTCAATTATATTCACCTCATTTAATAAGTATCATCTTTATTAGTAATACTTTGAAAAACTTAAATCCAATGTTTACTTTGACCTAATTCTTTATTACTAGTATTTACTTTAACAATTGATTTACTAAACTTATGAAATATATAGTATAGTGTATACCATTAATATTGGCAAATATGAAAGACTTGCATCGGTACAGCATACGAGCGAAGGTTTGCGAGACAACAATCTCGTGTAGGTCTCCAAACTTCTGTAATGAACTAAATACCACAGATCTATCATAACGTGTACATAAACTCCGAACGCTTTCTCGCTCCAGTTTCCTACATTGTCAGTTCTGTTTACTATCCTTTCAATGATGGGTCTATGGTATTATATAAACACAACCCATTGCTACTGATGGATTCTCGATTATTTTTGAACTTATACTTCAACAACTATCCGAATTACGATTGATATGTTTTATCAATATTTAAGTAATGTCAGAATTTATTAAAAGAAAATTAAGAGGAGGAAGAAGAAGAAGAAAAATAATACGTAACAAATAAACTATACGCATAGTTAATAAGTTAGAAAATAGTTGTGCACTTTGACGAGTTTTCTCTCGGTAAAATTGACGCATGGGATATTGGTTTTCTCTTCAGGAAGTTCACCGGCCCGATACTCTCATCAGTATTGGGCGCCTGTGGTGGCAAATCATTTTCCACCGACTTCGCCCTTCACCCAGGGCCAAAACCTCGGGTATTCGTTACTGCCGCAAGGTGTTCAATTCTCGCCACCACGGCGGGCGCCACTCATTTCACATCCGCCACTGACTCGGCAACGTAGTGGTGGTACGGGTGGCGATTACACCTTGCTACCTCAAACACCGAAGCTCGATAGGAAGCGTTCGAAAAAGGGCACCAGGGAGGTAAGTTCAATTCGTCGAACGAACGAATCTCATATTCAACGAAATATAAAAAAGGGATGATCTCGAGAACAAAATTTTGAATAAAATTAGAATTATCATATCATCGTTTCCGTTTCATTTATGTCGGTCGTTTATATTATTAATTTGTAAATATAAATTTAATTCGATCGTTTCAAGAGGAATGTTAAACTAATTTAAATAGTTAATGGAGTTTCCAAAAACAGGGGTAAAATAAATTGTGCAATGTATGTTAATCGTGTCCTCTCGGAAATATTTGAACTTTTTTCCCTAAGATTAATTACGCTATGTATCTTAATGTCGTAAAATCGAACGAGAATTAGTTTCACGTAAGGACATTACCGTAATTAAGTGCATTCACGTTTCTCCGAATTCCCCGGATGAAAAAAAAATAATAATAATAAAACACAGAGAATAAGGGTGGGGGGAAAAAGGAACGTATTACTTTGGCAAAACGTTCTCTTATTTTCGCGAGGATTTATTCGACGATAATTTACCATGAATAATTTCCGAGGAAAAGCAGATTTGTCGTTTCGTGTGTATGTTCTCGATACGTCTGTGACAACAAAATATTTTAAAGGAGATTGCAAGAAAGCTCGATCGTGTTAGCCGTGCATAACTCACATCAGAAAATAAGAAAAACTTCAGTGCAGAATGTAGCGAGACGCAAAAACTCAATTATCGTTCGTTCGCGAGCCAGAAAAGTGACTTGATATTGAGTTAGTACACCGGAGTTGCTATCGATACCCTTACTGAGAAGAAGTTCTTCGGGCCAACAAAACTCGTAGAAAAGATAGGATAACGAAGTACCTTCCAACTGTTGCCCACGCGCGAATGAAGCAGCTGTCATTGCGAATAGAGGTCAAAAAAAAAAGAAAAAAGATTCTTCAGTTTTTCTCATGAGTCACGTAAAGTTAATTTTAGCGTTGTCACGATATAATCTCCATTAATTTTAATACAATGAAAGAATTGTCGATCGTGAAAATGATATTTTAATCATAATTAACTCTTAATAATGATCTATAATTACAGCAATTATAATAAAAGGAAAAAAAAACTAATGAGCTATTTAATAAACTACTTGAAAATAAGGAAAAGATTCGTAAGCTCGTAAAATTCTCGATGTCTTATTAACTCTCGTCGTAGTAGTACTTTGAGTTCGACACGAAATATGGGAATGGGTACGATAAGTGTTAGGAAAGGTAAACGCGAAAATTGCATGTCAGTTTCTCTCTGCACGCAGAAGAAAATATACAGAAATAGCGGTGCGATAACGTAATACAGGTGTTAAGTTAAGCACGTTTCCAGATAAAATAGTGTCACTCGTCGGACTTTCGTTATCTTATAATTAATTATACGAAGAATAAAAATATATGTTATAGGGGATTAGTAGAATCACCTTAGTTGTGTATAATTGATAATACATATTTGTTTCTAAAATTATTTTACAATGGTGTCGGTTGAAACGTTGAAGTTTGAGAACGAGTTTTTCCGAATTTTGAGAGATCTTTTAATTATATTTACGAGATGAATAATTTGATTTCCTAATAACAATCATGTCAGCTAATACGACAAAATTACAATTAATGAAGAAATTAAAAGAGTTATGATTTTTCAGGTGACGTTCGAAACACCGGTATGACGGTCGCTCGACGGGGAGGGCCCAGCCAGCGTACCGCTTCTTTCGCTGTCTCCGTTACGTTTTGCCTAGCCCCGTCGAGGTCTCGAGAATCTTAAGAAGCAAGTCAAATTCAAAAAGGGATTCTCATTGCTCGAGCATTCACCTCCAAGGCGTCTATTTTGGTGGAGTTCAGACGAGAAGACGCAAGATGGAGGAAAAAGAAGAGGAGGCCTATTGGCTGAACTTCGAGTCCCCACCCCTGGCCCCTCCGCCTCCTCTTCGATATCTATACGGACTTATCAGGATGATCCGGACGTCGAAGAGACGACACTGTGGTTCTAAAGAAATAGGAAAAAAAAAAAAAGGAAAAATTCGACGAAGCTCCTTCTGGGTCTGCCAGGCTCCTTTGAAAAAAAAAAAAATAAATAAATAAATAAAAAAATATTTGCACTCGCTCGGACTCCTTCTTCAAACTTTTTCGTAAATATCGCGAGTGCTACGAGCCTTATACACATATACATACATACACACACACATACATACAAATAGTACACACACGTCTAACATATACACAGGTGCTGTATGTACAGCCAACAAAAACGAACGAAATGAACTTTAACTCGCTATAAGGAATGAAAAATAATACAAAAATAAAAGAAGTTAAAAAGAGAGAGGATCCGCGAGAGCGTGAATGCATCGAGGTCGGACTAGAAGGGAGTCGAAGGATGAAACGTGGTAAAACCGGCGGGTTGGGAAGGGGTGGGAGAGAGCGGGCCGGGGAAAAGGGAGGGAGGAAATGGAAAAGCTTTTTTACCTTCACCGAAGAACGTCCTTCCTAATTTTTCGAGGAATCTCTATTTATACGTCTCTCTTTCTCTTCCTTTTTCGTTGCTGGAAAATGTGAGGAAAGTTGAAAAGAGAGAAAAAGAGAGAGGGAGAAAGAGTGAGATAGAGAGCAAAAAAAAAGGAAGAGAAAAAGGGGTAGAAAGAAGAATATCGGAGTATACGTTCGCGTAATATCTTCAACGTGGATAGATACTCCGTTGTATTACAATACATCTACACATCGACTGTGATTATAATAACGGATATAATTCTTAAGTATTTCAAGAGGTATATAACGTGAAAATGCGATTATGTTTAATATACCTGTTGAAACTGTAATTCTCTCTCAGCGACATCGATCTTACCATTTTTAATAAGATGGTCTTCGTATCGTAAGCGTTCGAGAAAAATAATGAATCATGCGAGCGAGGGTTTATAAAATCAATCATTTACACACCTGAATTGCCTAAAAAACGTGTAAGTGTTTCATCCTCTTTCGTGTCTTTCCACATGATCAATAAGACTTACACACGTTCCTTGAATTTTCACAACGTATTCATCTTTTGTCGTTTTTTCTTCGTTTTCTTTTTTATTTTCCATAATTCATTTATCAAATGTAAGATTTACTTTTAAAAAAACAAAGATTCCTATATACGATTTGCAATTCGTTCTGTGATTTTTCATTTATATCAAACGTTACTCCCACGTTGATGTACATTAGTTAACATTAAAAAGGTTCTTATTGGTCAGACTGTTCTTTTTTTTCTTTTGTTTACTCGATTTCTTTTTATAAATTTACGATTAAAGTATCATTGATGGTAATCGTTAATTCTCTTACTCTCTCTCTCTCTCTCTCTCTCTCTCTCTCTCTATTTTTGGTGAAATAAAGAAAAAGAAAAGGAAATAAAGAAAATCATTAGTCTTCCTCCGAGTTTTTCATCGACGTGTCCAAGCCGTATCGATCGTGGGATAGGTGCACAAAAACAAACAAGAAAAAAAACTAAGTTCCACTCGTCGCAAAAAAAAAAAAAAAACGATAACTCGACGCAACACGAAGATCTCTGATAACGAACGAACGAACCGATGCTTGCCACTTATTCAATATACACCATGGATCATAATCACTTTCTCACCACTCACTCCATTACCATTCACGCCAGACTCCATACCGCTTTAAAAAACAACAACAACAACAAAAATCATATTTCGCGTTACACAAAACTAACTCCTACGAACAAAAATGAAACACGAGAGAACATTTGAAGTGTGAGAGTTCTATCCAGAATCTAACGCAATAAAAGTGCTTTGTTTAAAGAAATGAAATGAATAAATAAATAAATAAATAAATAAATAAATAAATAAAAAAGTAAAAAATATATCTGCAATAAAGTGCTTCGAAAAAAAAAAACATAAGGGAATTAAACAAAACAAAACAAAAAAAAATTAATAAAATCAACAAAAAACAAATTGTATAAAAAATAGTTCATTGCGAGTGGAATTCGATTATGGGGACGAAAAAACAAATTACAGAGTTTCATGTGAATGTAAGAAGAAAACGGGTAGGCGTGCTAAAGTAAATAGATTTACACATGTGTATGTAAAGAAGAGGAATATTCAAAAGTAAAAAAAAAACCGAAGAGGAGGAAGAGGAGGAGGAGGAGGAGGAGGAGGTGGTGGTGGTAACGACGAAGGAAATATAGAAGACGAAGGACGACTACGAAGACGACGAAACAAATTAAGAAAACATGTGTGTTTGTATGTTTCTATGTTTATATAATCCCCCCGCGTGTGAGAGCCAGCCCGAAAATGATTTAGGAAAATAAAAAAAAAAATAAAAAATACTAAAGACGCACAAACGATTTAAACAAAAGAAAAACATTAAAATTTTGAAAAATAACAAGAAAAAAATAACCCTATAAAAGGAAGAGTGAAAATAAGTAACGCGTGTCAACAAAAAGCGATGGCAAACAGTGATAGGTAAATGACAACAAAAAATATAATTAAAAAAATATGAGCAGGAACGTGTGCGTTCGTGCGTGTCTACGTATGGATGTGTGTGCGTGTGTGTGTGTGTGTACCGTGAGTGAGTTTAATTACGTCGATGAGAGGAGATAAGCTGATAAGAATTTAAATGAAAATAATAAAAAAAAAAAAATAATAAAAATAAAATAAAATAAAATAAAAATAAAAATAAAAAAGTTTGTAGAGTACGCTTGCGAGTCGATCAAATGAGCGTGCGTGTGTGATAATTTAATTAATATTAATGATAATTATTTAAAAAAAAAAAAAAAAGAAAAAAACCGGAGCAAGGATCTTACACGTCGGAAAATATGTTTTGTACCTGATAGATTTTGCCTGATGTTATGAAACATGTAATACATTCGCATCTTTTGGATAACAAAGATCATTCTTACGAGTTCTTAACGCTTTACGTTTCGTCATAGAAAAAAAAGATTTTTTTGAACATGAAAATACTTTGTTTATTAGGAAAAATATTATCAATTTTTTTCTCTTTCTTATTTTATTCTTTTCTTCAAAATTCAATTGAATACAAATTAAATTCAAACAATTATAAAAATGTGACGATGTTGTTTTATCATATTGTATTTTGTAATTTGAAAGAAAAATGTTAATAAATCGTGGCTTCAATTTCATAGCTAATCACGTAGTAAGAATCCTTACACGGTAGATCAATGGTTTAAATTATATTATGACAAAATATTTTACTTCAGATTTGAATTAATTAATTGGCGTATGTATTCTAGCAATCGCATACATACATGCATATATTATATCGAATCGCAATGATATTTATATACGAGCATCTTTTTATAATTAATCGTTACGATTGTTTCACATTTATATTTAAAACGAAGTACAAATTATTCGTTATTTGGTTTCCGATCGACGTGCCTAGTAGTCAGATACATTTTGCGTTTTCGTAGGACAAGTAGATGTAATCGTTCGAAATGATCTTTCTTCGTTTTCCATATAATAAGTAATAGCATTAAAAAAAAATTAAAACCCCGTGTAGAATTAAAAAAGAAAAAAAAACATGTTGCACGAAGAAGTATCGATCGATGTAATACACACACACACACACACACACACATACACATGTACATACATACAGACATAAACACGCAACAAACAAACAAACACGCGTGCGATAATTGTTACTAACTCGAATCCTTCTAACACGAATCGTTTTTTGTATCGTAAATAAAAAGTTTACCAGTGTAGGGAATAGTTTTGTTCTAGTAACCTCGTTAAGAAAGAAAGAAAGAAAGGAAGAAAGAAAGAAAGAATTTATTTAATAATTTTTAAGAACGTCAATCATTTCTTGCTATTACCAATAATAAAAAGAGCGGATAGAAATTGAATGAAATTTGGGGAAAAAAATGAGATATATTCACATACGAGCCAGAGTACCGATTCTTTGACCAGCAAATCGGCCGCACGTCGATATTGGCACGAGACCAGCCCTTGTTAAACGCAAGGGCCGAATTTCTGGCTTGATTTTAGGCTGAGTTATTTACATACGAATAGAGATCCGAAACTGAATGCATTTGGCAAATATTTCTTCGTATGCTCGATAGTTTTGACGTCCGCATATGCGTTCGATGTACAACGATACAGACAAAACCACACACGGTAACACCTGCGATTATGAAATATAAGTTACGAGCTCGAGCTTCAACAACCCCCTTCACCCTTGTCCTCTTTCTTCCCCAACCTCTCTTTCTATGTATTTCTCTTACACACGTGCGCATATACAAACAGATACACATATACACACCCTCTCTCTCTCTCTCTCTCTGTGTGTGTCTCTTTCAATCTGTCTCTGCTTCCTGCAAAAAAAAAAAAGGAAAAAGGTACAAATTCTTTCGGTTTATCTGTCCTTTAAATTTTCAATACCACACCACCACTAGCAGCAGCAGCAGCAGCAGCAGCAACAGCACCACCACCACCACCACTACCACTACCACGAATAGCAAACATTAATTATCAGCGGATCGATACTCGGCTTTGATAATTTTCCGAAAAGGCGCGAAACGAAATAATGGCAAATGAAAAACACATATCAAACGTAGGGTGTTCGGATAAAAATTATCGTATGTTATATATAAATATATATATATATATATATATATATATATACATATATACATGTACATTCAAACAATCTTTTTTTACTTTACCGAATTAAATTATATAACGAAGCGTAATTTTTTAATGATCACTTATAGATTCGATCTATGATAGTTGAAAAATATCAAATACACGTATATATTGTACTTTGTTAGATTAACGAATTGAAAAATAACGTATATTTCCCGTCCAAATTGTATTTTTAAAATGACCATTTAAAAATAAGTCAAATTTGTTATATTCGGTCACCCTACTTCGAAAAGCGTCAAGATTAGAACGGAATTGTTAACAAATCTTGTATTCGATGGGAACAAATGAGACCGAGAAAGAGAAAAAGAGAGATAGCTTAAAAGCAAATGAAAGAGAGAGAGAGAGAGAGAGAGAGAAAGAGAATGATTGAGACGAAATAAGAAAAACATGTGAAAAAGTTAGAGAACAATATATTTTCCGACGTAAGATCGGCTTTAAAAAAAAAATGGGATGCGTCTGGATGTGTCTCTGCGAGTGTCTTTATCGATGTTGTGAACCGTGTTACGAGAAAAACAAATAAAATGAAAAAAAAAGAAAAAAAAAATTATAAAGAAGCAGAAGAAGAAGTGGAAGAAATTACAGGAGAGGACGAAAATATAAAAAAAAAACCTTTAAAAAATGTGAAAAAAGTTAATAAAGAAGTAATAATAATAATAATAATAAATAAGACAACACATCAACAACAACAACAACAACAACAAACGTCGGAAAAAGCCGACAAAAACACACCACCGCGACTCATAATTAAAAAGGAAAAAAAAAAAAAGGAAAATAAACCAATAAAAAAAATTGACGATATGATGATGATGGTGATGATGATGATGATGATGTTTGCTGCGATGACGATGAGAGAAGAGAATAAAATGAAAAATGGAAAGAGAGAGATACACTCTTAAACAGCGTACCACGAACAAAGACGACAAGACACTGTATATTATTGCTATTATTTATTATTACGAAATGTTCGTTGACTTATTATGTTAGAAATAAAAATTACATTGAGAAATGAGGTCTTTCTTTGAGATATGATACACTTCTTCTGGAAATATTTATTCACCTTGTTCTTTTTTTCCGCTTACTCACCTTTTTTTTTAATGATGTTTTTTTTTTTTTTTTTTTTTTTTTCTTTTTATTAGAAACGAAAAGAGAAAGAGGAAAATGCTCGGGCGTGGTGAAGTGATATTACCAGTTACCGCTAAAAATAATGAAATGGAATACGGGAATATAAGAGTGAGAAAGATAAAAGCAAAGAAAAAGCAAAAAAAAAAAAAAAAGGAGAAACGGTGAAAATAGGGAATGATGTGCGTCGGAGATACTGAAGTAGTAGTGACATAAAAGGCGCTTCAAGGATTATAACCCTTGAATCATCCTTTTCTCCCTTTTTCTATCCGTACGTTAATCTTTCTCCCTTTTTACGTATCTCTCCTCTATCTCACTCCCCACATCTCGCTCTTTTTATTCTTTTTCTATAATTTTTTTTTTTTTTCTTTACCGTCGTCATTACGACTAACTCGAGAAAACGAATAAATGTATAAGAGAAAAAAGGAAAAATAAATAAGTATAGTTGTGTGACATTTTTCGAAGGACAAGGAAGGAAGGAAGGAAGGAAGAATCGGCGGAGTCATTCTCGCAGTGGCGTCGTCGCTAAGGAAAGGTCTAGGTAAATGCGGATGGATTTCCTGGCAAGGAACAACCTTAAATCTGGGTCGTCGTGGAAATTTGGTTGCCAATATTCGATACACCCATTTCTCCGATTGCGACACAATTCTTTCAATGTGTTGTTATTCGTAGGATGTTTTTCATATTGGGGATGGAAGTACATATTTTACAACATTTCTATATGATCTCATTGAATTTTTTTTTTTTACTTACCCATATTATTATTATTATTATTATAAGACATACATTTAGATACACATACGTATGTATTTATATATTATTATTTTTGTAATAAATAATTAATGGTTAAACAAAAAGTGATCAATAATGAACAAAGCGTTAAATTGTAGTAAATTATATAAATGTAGATATATATATATATATAAAAATAGAATGGGACGGTGTCATCAAAAATGAAATTCTACATCTGATACTTGTTTTTTTCTTAACTCGGAAATCAATTCGAGTATATTGGATATAAATATCAATTGAAATTTATTCTCTTAGATCGTGTTGTATAGCTTCTTACCTTCCTCGATAACTAAAATACCGAGCTAATAAAAATTCAGTCTTTTCCATAAAGATCGTATGAGTTGGGACGATAATAATAAAAATAAGAAAAAAAAAAAAGAAACGAAAGTAAAGAAACGATCGTTCCTGTCATACAGATCGAAATTATTGGACATCACGTGGCAGGAATAATTTGATCAAACCCTCTGTATTTGTCTTTGAAAGAATAATGGTAGCTCGGAAGGCAACCAGTTTCCCTCGGTAGTTCGAGTTGGTAATAATCCGTTGCTTTTCGAATATATCGGTGTCGTTAATACTCTTGTATTATTTTTATCGATTATTTCGATTCCTTTGTCGTCGTCGATTCTTGATATTTTTATTTGTACCTTCGAGTCGGCACCTTCTGTAACCTGTAACGAAAGAGAACACAATTGATATTTTTACTTTCACTTTTGACATGCATATTTAAATGTTATATACAAGACAAAATGTATATATGTATATATATATATAACATTTAAGTAGGAAGATTCTTACTTTAATTCGTACTTTCTTCTCACCGATATGAAACGCTCTAGAACCGAAATCCTCATCGTGATCACTATAATCCCCAATGTATTCGCGATCGTGTACATCGTCTCTGTCGTAGTATCTATCGTAGTAACGATTTTTACGTTTTTCTTCACGTTTCGGTAATTGGATAATTATAGTATACGGTTGATTGTCCGAGACCGAAGAAGGTTCTTCGTAAAGAGGAGCATATCTAGAAAGTATTATTAACCATTTCAAATAATATTAATTAAATCATTGAAGAGAATGCTTTTCTTTTCTCACGCTAATAACCGTGACATGACTTCTCGAGATCTTTTCTGTTGATCGACATATTTTATTATTACGAATCCTTCGTACACGTTGAAAACATGAAGTGAAAGCAAATGGATGAATTCAATTCATTGTTTGTTCTTACTTAAAAATAAATGATCAATCGTCTTTATTTATATCAACGATTATTATTGATGAATATTTTAATGAAGAATCAAAAGGAATGTCATCGAAGTGATAAGAAAAGTTTAAACGATTTGAACAAAAAATATGATTTAATATGATACCAATTGATTAATGTTCTTTATAATGAATGTCACATCATTTTATTTATTACACGTGTATGAATTTCACCTTACACACGACACCGTAAAATTTATTACACATCCCGGTAAATACTTTCGACTCAGGTTACACGGTCGATAACCTACAAGATTACGCATAATGAGAAAACATCCGTTTGAAAAAGTAGGACGAGTTCCCTTTATTCGTTAAGTACCAGACTGATCTTGTCCGAAAACGGAAGTAAAGATCAAGAGACTTTTAGAAAATGTTATCTTTATAATCACGATTAAACTACATTCGGTAGAGATAACGAAAATGAGAGCTCGTAATTAGCCTCAACGATAATCACACACCCATTTCGAAATTTTAAATAAGCTTTCTTTTCTTTAAATCCTACTGCTGCAGTACTTCATACTGAAAAACAAAAAAAAAACTCCTGAAAGTGGGTTAACGTTACTGAAAGATAACGCAAGAAATATAGGGGGTAAATAACAATTTGTGTAAAAAGAAAAATATACAAATAATATAATTATAGGTACAGTACTTGCAATTAGTAACAATAAAAAGTTCACAAATGTTATATCTCGTAACGATTTTCTTCCGAACGAATTATTAAAATATCGTTAGAAGGACAATCAAGTGGTATTAAAACAATTATAACGCGACCAAGTAGATTATGGCAATAATTTCATTTCCATATCATTCGAAGTTAACTTACAGACAATCACTATAGATTTCGATTATAATAAACGTTAATAACAATAAGTAGCTGTACAAAGTTCATGTCTCAAAGTTTATCTTAGTACTATTTAAAAGTACTCGAGTGATATGAGATATGTACGAGTGGTACACAACACATAAGAGAGTGCCAAATATTCGTGGATGCCCAACGGCGTTGTAAGTGCGAATGAGGAACTATCGATTTTACGCAAAACCATGCCATGTATTATACATAGTATAACTACGGTCGTCTAGCAACGAGATTTCTTATTTAATTAATAATCAATCCTCGATGTATAACTGTAATGTTTAGACTAATTTGATTATAAGCTTAACGGATTCGTGATAAACCCTAATACCCACAAGTATGTACCTATCAATCTTTACACAAATTGATCGTTCAAAAATATCGAACGAATAATAATGAAACTAAATGAAAAAAAAAATAGAACGCGTTGTGAGTGAAGTGGAACGAATAAATTATTCGAAAAGTACGTTTTTTCATCAATCGTAAACTTGGATGCCGATCGATAATCAATATTTATCTTCAATGCTTTCTTTATGACTTGCAAGCTGAACCCAATGTAAACTCAACGCACATGGTTAAATAGTGTGTCGCTGGGATATTATAATTTCTCTGTGTGAGTATAGTTTATTTTAATCTTACCTCGAGTAACCAGGACGAGAAGAAGTGTAATGATTTTTCGTAGATTTTTGAATTCCTGAATATTTCGGCGAACGAGAGATCCAACGTGATCGGTGTCGTGATTTTGGATTATAAAATTTATACGGTCTCACGTATTTGTGTACTTCGTAAACATCGACGAATTCCATCAAGAGTATAAAAAATAAAATGAACGCTAAAGCCTACGAATAAAAGAAGTATTTAAAAAAAAAAAAAAAAAAGAAAAAGATTAAATTTCAATTTGAAATTTGATTCGATTTATGTAAATTTGGAACGATTACTCGCTTTTAATTTCATATTCGTGTCTTGATAATATATTTTACGAAAATATTTTCAATCTCGTATTGTCAATGATTTTTCTAAACAAATTTTCTAATCTAACGATTACAATGACCATCATTAACTTAATTGATTAATTTATTATTAATGCAATTCGATGGATTTAATTATTATTTGAAAAAATATCTTATACGCGTGTTTAATTTGACGATAGATATATGTAGATAGACTGACGTCGAATAACTTGAAAGGTATCTCACAGTGAATCTTCTTTTATACTTTCCCCACCTTTAACTTAAACATCTTCAAGAAATCGGAGAGGAAGAGGAAGAGAGAGAGAGAGAGAGAGAGACAAAGCGAAAGAAAACATTTCTTTTTTTCTGGTGTTAATTAGACATCGTCGTCTAGTGTCATTCAACGTTATTACGTTTCTTTCTTACCTGCATTGTAATCCGTTAGTTTCCCAAGTAGGTACTGTAACTAACTTTTTAGAACAGAACGAGATGCTGTAAAGAATTAAACTATTTTTCTCTTTTATAACTCTCTCATTTTTATTTTTTTAAATTACGTTGAACAACTGTTAATTTCATAATATTAAACTTCATTCCTTAAACATTTGGATTACCTACATTAATTTCGCAATTTTATATTCCAACACGGTATGTTTGAAAAATATGAATCAAAAATTATATTGGGACACGTAGGTCCAATTGCACGTACGTATTTCTTTTCCTCTTGTTTTGTTTTCAGAACAATTTTATTTCTTTATTACGTACCAATGAAATAAATTCATGCATTTAATGCCGAAGCTCGACATCATCAATTTAAAACACGACAGATGCAGAGAATCGAGTTTAATATCGTTGATTGACATTCCGTGCATCTCCGCTCTTTCATCGGCACTTTAATGCTCACGAGGATGAAAAGCTCGAAAAGTTGTGACAGAGGGAGTGAGAAAAAGTAGAGAAATCGTTCTTTTGTAGAATAATAATAATTTCAACTTCTTAAGAAGCTGAAAGCCCGTAGAAATACCACCTACTTTCCTCATTCTCTTCACTTTCGTTAATCTCGGACTCTTCGAAGCGAATGACCGAAATGAGCCAGAAAAATCTTAATAAATATTATAGATCAAGAAAAAGAAATAACGGTCTCGTTCGTATAACCCGTATATTAAACGCTATTATAAAAGAATAAATAATTTTTTTTTTCTTAAAAAAAACAAAAAAATATGAATCTGATAATTTTACCATTCACATTCACATTGTTGTATAAAATATCAACCGAGAATATTATGAATTCTCTTTTTAATTGAATTCGTTGAAAAGCGACGAATGAATTACTTTCCTTGGTAGATGAAATTATATTCTTTTTTTTTTTTTTTTAATGTGTTACGATTTTATTATATCATCGTCGAGCAGCAATAGCAATTCTCTTTCAAACGTTTTAGTATAGAGTGTCCATTTGAAAAGAAATATCTTTAAGGAAGGAAGAGTCCGAGACGACGTGGCAAGCTTTGAAATCGGTTCTTGATGGATGATAAAGCAAAAGGATTGTCGAGTCTCGAAGGAAAAGCTTTTTCATTTCCGATTCAGTTCGCTTCCATGTAGTTTTGAAAAGACCGAACCGATCGAAAAGTCGCGGTGAGAGAGCATCTCCGATGTCACAACGTTGGAGACGATGAATAGGAAATAGGGAATGAATCAACGTTGGGTAAGAGAAAGAGAGAGATTAAACTTACTGAGAGCCTTACGATCGATAATTAAAGAACCAGAAACATGAATATCTTTTTCTCATCATCGAAAATGAAACTGTATCTATAATGTTACTGTTCGTTTCCTTTATCGTAAAAAAATAAACGAGAATAAATGATCATAAAAATACTCTCAGTCCAATTTGAAAATAATCTTAGATTATTTCGGTGTTAGTAAAATGAACGAACATTATCGATTGACATTATATTAATTCATGACAGCGTATAATAATTTATTCTAATACTTATAGATATTGATTAACCTTCTCAATACTTAAAAACTTTGTTGTATTGTAGGAAAATTGGGCAGGTAAAAAAATCAGAACATAGTTTTTTGATCCTGTGTTGTACGTTTCGTTCTTTTATTAGGACTTCTTCTTCAGCAATTATAACAATATACTATTTTTCGATTTTGTTTGATAGATTTTGAATAAAAAGACTGAACTATTATTATCGTATATTTTATTTAACTTTTGGAAGAAAAGTTTGATGTACAAATACATCGTTAAATATTCTTACATCACATGATACATTTAAGTACAAATGTTTACGTTTTTATAAAACATTTTCGATTATATGTATAAACAATTTATATAAATAAAAAAAAAACAGGTAGAGATACGTTTAAACATAATAAGCGATAAATATTGCATATTATGTTAATTTTGGATACGATTTTAAAGCGATAGGCTGCACTAATTTAATGCTCGGTATTCAAAAAATATTGCAGAATACCATCGACAATAATAATATAATTACTGAGATCATCTAGCTTGGCATTTAAACGCGAAGCAATTTTTTCCTAATACTTTCATCAACGTGGACCATATGATACATTCTAATATTTTATACGTGACTCCCAAATTGTATGCCATACGGAAGAAAATGTAATTAAATATTATACACCTATATCAATAACTTGGTTACAAATCTATAGGAAAAGTTTTCAGCGAATTTGCATACTGCGCATTTCTGCATTTATTCGAACGATAATAAAATGCTATAGTTTTGATAGTTTGTCTTAAAAAATTATAGTAATAAATAAATATAAAAAGATTAGAATGTGGAAGCTGAAATTCGGGCTCGTTTTCTATTATTCTACTTATCAATAAATAAGAGGCGATCAAAGAGCCCCATTTAACTAAATGCGTAATACTTATGAATAAAGCTAATTATTGATAAAGGACACGTCGAAACTGTGGCACTAGTTCTTCGAAGAACACATAGGAAGCCTTGGCCCAATCTATGAATTAGTTTCTTGAGTTTCGGTGCAATCCGTTGGCTTGATTTCCAACCACCAATCATTGGGATAGTGATACTTTTGTAGTTCGATGCCCTCTCTTGGTACAGGCATTAATCGACCACCAAATTGTTTTGCTGGTAAGGGAGGAATCACCAGTTGAGGCGGAAAGCACTGCAAACTCGGTGAAAACTCGCAATCCGGTGGTAGGACCCTTCTTGTCCATCCCACCCTTCTTACCATTTGAGTCTGCAAGTGTAAAGCCATAGCACAATAGACTTAAACAATAATACACTTCTACAAAAAAGCATGGACTCTAAGGAATCCATTTCTAAGGAAAAAACTCATGTCAATAAAGTTTTCCAATAATTTTGCTAAAAACGAATAGCTTTTTAACCTTTACCAATCCTATTCAATAGTTTTACGAGAATAAAGAAACTAACAGGAAAAGACTGATCCTTGCTTCAGTAAAATTGGCAGAGAAATGTTGACAAGAACCGCCAATCTCAATAAAACGGCGCCATGATTTACGGAAATACGTAAACGAAAAGTCCCTCCCTGTCATTTTATTGCCGAATATGTTGCCAAGGAATGATTTTCGGTTGGCCTGGTTATGTGACATGGAAATACGGTACGTTAACGCAGCAGTTGAAAATTTTTGACCGAGACAATCTCCGAATCTAGGTTTACAAGGTAACAATTTATGTTCGCAAGTATGAGTAATTTACTGAATAGAATAATAATAAGGAATTAAGGATGATTCGTCTTATACGTGATTCATTTACTTTGAAGCTATAATTTCTAGGCTGTCTAGTAAAGCAATCTCAATATTCATCAAGATGTTCTATTATATCGAATTTAATCTCTCTTCTCCTCCTGTTACTATATTCGACAATTAGAACAATCGTCTCATTAAGCTCTCTACTCCGACACTGTCGATATTATCGCGAGAATAAACCCCTTTAATCTATCTACCCAAACTTCAAACAATTATCGATCATAATATGATCCTCTTGTAATTAATTTAAATAAAGCATAAGTCAATTATAGTACGTATATGTACTTGTATTCGATTAATTAAATATTTAAAAAAAAAAAGCGATATAAAAATAGTTACCACAGAATCCTCTTCGAAAACGACGATTTCCACTTTAGGAGAATCTTCCCCAGCCTTATCCTCCTGGACACGATAAATTCCAGCACTGTGAAGATACGTTGCGCTTAAGCCTACCTCTCGAAACGTTTTCGTAATTAGAGCATCGTCCCTTAAGGTATCAACCAGGCAGAGCTCGACCTTGCGAGCCCAGGGCAGTGCCCGACCTATTCGAACTTGACCCCAGAGCGCGCCCAAACACAGAAAATGCACGATGCCCAGTTTAGCTAGCACCAAGTGTGACCTGTTTTAAGAAGAAGAATAAAATAGAAAAGTAGCTATTTAATAAAACTATTTGATCGAAGATAACTTTATGAGTTGACCAAAAGAGAAATTTGTGATCAGTGAAAGTCTACTTAACGCAATACGAAAGTTGTTTTTTTAATGAAGACAAACTATCAGTGACTCTAATATTCAAGATTAGGAAATTGTTCGTCTTGTACTTTGTGGTTTCTAAATACTCGACAAACAATGGAAGTGGCCTACTTTTGGCCATTTAAAAAATATTGATTTTATCTACTGTTGATTATAAGACAATTGAATTACCTTAATGTAAGTTAAATAACTTTAAATGGATGTATCTACAATTGCTAAATTTCTATCTTATCGTCATATGTTTAAAGGTATTCTGAAGCAGAACAAACCTGTAGGCAAGCTCATGCAGTTTCTCAGTATACTCTTCCGGAGCACTACAGGGTTGGTGAGGAACTTCTTGCCGACCGAGGCTGTACCAAAAGAGTACAACCATGAAGCAAAACGCTGCTACAGCTCGTAGCGGCGTTATACGGAATCTTCTTCGCGGCCAAAAACTCATGCTGGTAACCTTGAATAAAACGTAATAGCTATGTCTAAACATTGATTATACTTTAATATCATTGTACCATCGATTATATATAAATAATCAAATGTTATAGCTCATTCATCGGTGATGCAAATAAATCTAGAAATAATTTTACAAACCACAATATATTCCAATAAACGAGGACAGTCTCTTGAAGCTGACCATTCAAACAACTCAACATCGTTACGTAATTCCAATAAAAGCTTCAACAGCTAGCTCGCAAAAACGTTTTACTCGTTTACAATTGCACGTATTTCGAACAAACAAAGTTTCCATGGCCCACGTGACACCGAATACGTCAAAATTCTTCCCCTCGAGACACTGTTTTTTCTCACCCCTATCACCACAGTCACCTTCGCGTCTTCTTCAACATCAACCCCTCCCACCTCTAAAAATCGTTTTTCTAGAATTTGTGCACTTGGCAACATCGCAAATGGACGCCATTGATTAATCTGTTTTATCAACGGAGTTGAATACGCGGGCAGTGGCGTCGCCTTTCGGTCATTTCGGGGATTCCTGTGATCTTGTGGCAAAGCTTCGAATGGAATTTGAATCTATTATTCTTTGTAGGCAAGTAAAAGATGGAGAGTGCGAAGTACGAAAATAAATTCACCGACGCTCTGCGCAATCGTCTTTTTTGACTTTCTCGGAGGGTGGGACTTTGTCATTTTGACAGAAACGGTGGCGAAAAAAGAGAGAGAGTGAAAAGAGTTAAAGAGAAAGCAAATGTCTTTAAGTCTGACATCTTCGTGTTTCTGAACCATTGACTACTGATAAGATATTTCAAGCATCTTTAAGTACCTATTAAAATTTGTAAAACCTAATCAACCAAATTTTCTTTCCAATTGTGATCAAACAAGACAATGTTCCAAGAAATAATAATGAGAAACTTAACTTAGATTCTTTTAAATATCTCACTATCAAAAAATTCAAAATACAATAAGATGTTATTTACAAACAAGCTTGTTTTCAAATCCACCTACATTTTTCTTAACTCTTATTTGAGAAACGAGTAGCAAGCATCCGCAAATTCGTCAACACGAATGGCCAGTTTAAAAATAAGACGTGCTCCCTGAAACATGCTAGCGTTATTGGCGTTTGTGCTCATTAGGGTAATTGAGTGGGCTCAAGACTCTACTGCGATAACTCATTCGAAGAGAGAGCGTTCTCCGAGAAAAAGTAAATAGAGCGAGAAAAGGGTACATGAGAGTGGTACAAGCTGGAAAGTCTTTGACGCGAAAGAATTCTTTTTCGTTTTTTTTTTTTTATTTTTGTTTTCAAAATAGAAAAGAAAGTAAAGAGAACAGTTTTAAGCAAAACTCACTGGGTTATATAAGGATTTCTTTTTACAATAAAACGTGTCAAACTGTTTCTTAGTAAATCGATCGTTGTAGTACGCATGAAACTGAAATCTTTTGTAAGTCGCTATCAAGAGTCAAGTGTTAATACATTTGGATGCGTTGAAGAAACTCACTAACCGTGCACGAAGAGATTCCTCGCCGAATAAAATCGTTTTTCCTCTCGACTCGCGAAGGGGAAGAAAAAGTCTCGCGCGATGTCGTAGAAACGACCGAAATTCCAAAACAAACGGTCGGACTACTCGCCTTTCTCTCCTTCTAATTTTATCTTGTCGCTTCCCTCCCTAGTTCTTAGCGTGTATTTTCGTAGCACGTGTCACTTACGTATCGGTACCTTATCTTCGTCTTATTCTTCTTCTTCGTCGTCTTCTTCTTCTTCTTCTTCTTCGTTACTTCCTACGAAAGAGAGAATAAGAGAAAGAGAAGACCCTGTTGGCGATCTTTCGAACACGTGTACACTCGTATGGCTGACGAGCTTCCGCTATTACAACGTTCAATCCTTTTTCCACTCATTTCTCATTCTGCTTATTTCAAACTTGCCATACTCGTATCGTTTTATCGCGAGTAATGAAGCAATCATCGCTTAAAGCCAATTGGCCAGTTTATTTACAAAAACTCTTAACCGCTATTTAATGTCTATAAAGAGGGGGAAGAGGAAGAGATCGATTTCTTTGCTAAATTGTTTTGCTATTGACAACAAGGGTTTGTTATATGGATAACGAGGATAATTACTTCACAGACGCCTAAGATCATCGTCAAGCAGAGAAATCGAAAAAGAAATCGAATCCCGCTGTTGTATTTGTAGTACTTTCCGAGTGAAACAATTTCTACGAAGTTAGAACTTTTAAAGAGAACTCTCACTAACCAGTATCGAACGCTAAATCAACAACTAAACGATGGTTATTTTTCTGGTTTAAAGCAAATCGATTACTTTCAATTCCAACTAAAACTTTTATCATCTATGAAAATGTATTTAAACGAATAAATAAATAAAACATGGGGCGAAACTACTTTCCATATTTTCCCAATAAAATAGAGAAACGTATTACGAAATGTCGACAAGGTAAGACGTTGAATAGTTATAAATAATTGAAAAATCTTTCCATCTCGTAAGAAGACAACAATCATCTATCGTAACATTCGATCGATCGATCGATCGACAGATTCCAATTTTCGAATTAACTATCGCCGTTTGGTCTCGCACGGATAATCATACGGCACGATTTTCTCCTGCGACATAGCTCAGTAACCATTCGACCGAGCACAATCCTGCGTTTTTCCACGATAATGAACTCGACTAATCTCAAGTGTACGCGCGCCTGCAATGCTCTTTGAATATGCCGACTACGTCCGGCTTCTAGAAAGCCACGAGTCCGCGATTCCCCGTTTAAATAATGCAACTCGCGGAAACCTCTGACCTGAATGGCTAACGCGCTCAAAGAATCGGCACTCGGAGGAGGAGGGTTTTTCCCTCGGCAAGCCTAACAAAGTTTAAATTGTTATGCGCTTTTTTTCCTTTTGTTTTTGTTTCTTTTTTTTTTTTTTTAACCTCAAGAAGAAATTCCTCGGCATTGTTACGTTTCTAGTTTACCACGACGACTGAATTCGCATCTTATTAGTTGCTCTGTATTCTTCTTTATTTCTTAACAAGATTGTCTCAAGTACCCCAACGAATGATTATGGTGGGCACAGCGGGAAACGTCTCGCGGTTGGATCGTTCGTTCATTTTATTTCAGCTGAACGTCGAAAAGGGATCCCAAGAGTCCTTAAAGATTTCTTGTCCCGTATCCCGTTTATAGCTCGTAAATAGATTTAATGCTTTACTTTTCTCGTCTCTCTAATTAAAGGAAATCACTTTGGTAATTGATGAAGGTTTTATCGAATACGATAAATTTATATGATTTTTCGTTCTTTTTTATGGAATTATTATCTCTCCTGTATTATAGTTTATTATTCTGTATCTACAAATAACTAATATAATGAGACATTAATATTTTATAAAAAACTTTGTAAACATGGATTACTGAAATCTCAATAATATTATAATAAGATATAATTAATATTTTTTGTTTTATTTTCATCGATACATTTGAATGAAAATTTTCTCCAATTTATAAAATTTCACTGAGTTTCCCGGAAAATGGAGAGAACGAGAAAGCGAGAGAGAGAGAGAGAGAGAGAGAGAAAGAGAAAGAGAGAGATAGAGAAAGAGCCCGTTGTGTTCCGGGCGTCAATAAATCTAGCGAGTCGAGTATCTTGATGACATTGTTGCCGCCTCGCTTTTAGAAGGCCATAAAATTCGAACAGGTTTAATGCGAAATAAATGAACAGATTCTCCGGATGCCGCGTGTGGTCAACTCGCTCGTTCCCGGCGGTCGCAAGGACAACCAACATGCTCGCTCCCTTTACGACCTATAAACTATTGTATCTTAACTCTTAGCCAGTCGCGCTTCCAAAGCCACCTTTTCCAAGAGATAATATCGAGAATTCGTGCGAAGTTTGTGAGTCTGAAAAGAACTACCCGTTTGCAATCTCCTTATCTTGAAAATATTTTGTCATCAGCATTATAGTAAAATAATAGTAAAATAATATACACAATCCTGTGAAGAACCTAACAGGATTTACATGTTTCTAGAAATTTCATTTGGAACTTCTAAAATCGTAAAAAAGAAAAAGGGATTTCTTTATGATCCGTAACATCGTAAAACAGAGTAGAAGAATTATTGACACTTATTATCAAAAGCGAAAGTAGGCCTCGAAAATCAGGCCGATTGGAAATTGACATTCCTCGGGGTGCACCACCATGGCTGCGGACGCGTCTGGTTAAGCGCAAAACGCGTCCCCGAAATGGCGGCGGCGTCTTTGTGGGACCTCTTTTAGAGCGGCCATCGCCGAAAGGGGTTTTTACCCTCTTGGAATCCACCAAACACTTTTACGTACGCGTTCGCCGCATTGAAATGCAAGTCGCGTTCGCCAACTGGGCCATCAGCCTCTTTTCAGCCCCGCCGCACAATTCCTCCTACTGATCTGACACAACTCAACCCTTCATCTCCCTCTATTCCACTCTATTTCTCCCTGCGATCGAGCTACGATAAACCGCTAATCTTCCTCCTCCTCCCTACCCCGTCCTCGCGATCAATCTTACGCTTTTTCTCGGCACTCTTCCCTCTCTTGGAATATCCTTCAGAGTCAAACGTAAGTACCCAACTGGATGGACAATGAGTCTCGGGATAGAATAGGATAGCAAGAAGGACGTTAAGCATTCCCGTGAGGGCTTATTAATCCTCCACGCTCAACGATTATTCGACAGCTATTATTTATTATCGTTCAGGCTTATGTTAGTTCTTTCAAGATCTTGTCAATAGATAACTTATAACAAATACAAACAATAGATTACAAAACATTATTTTCAACAATTCTCAAGACTCTTTTTAAAGACCAGAGATCAAATTATACAAATTTATTTCACTGAATTACTGAAAACCATTCTCAAAGTATTTTTCTGATTTTTTTTGCTGGAAAAACCAAAAGAGTTTCGATGTGATTTAAGACAAAAGAAATGGATTCGCGACAGGAGTAGCGAAAAGGACCTGGAAGGAACCCGAAGACGTTCGTATTTCGTTGTTGAGGGTCTCCCTTAGCAGGAAGGGAGCAGAGAACGTTAGCGAAAGAGACGCTTGCCGTCGCGACGTGAGTTACGCCGACGTGAAAACGGTCCCTCGCATTCGAAATAACCGGCACAACGTTCCGTATATTCGCGCGGAACGTTAAACGTTTACCTCGAGCGTTTAAACGCACATTGACCACATGGTTCGCCTTAACGTTTGTCAACGCCACCCTTTGCTGGCTCTCCTTCGCTCTTTTAAACATCGCCGCTTCGTTAAAGCTTTTCGTATCCTTTTTCCTTATCCACCTTTTAGCCTCTCTCTCTCTCTCTCTCTCTCTATTTATCTCATATACTCCTCTCTTCTTATTCAGCAGCCAGCAGTGAAGCAGAGAAGCGGTAACGAGCATTCCACTATCCGTAATCGCGA